AAGGTGGGATTATGTCAAGTAAAAGAAGCCTCTGCACAGTAAGGGAAATGACCAGCAGAGTGAAGAGATAGCCTATAGAATAGGAAAAAGTTTTGCCAACTATACCCTGAAGAGCAAACTAATATAAAGACCTCAAATAAATTAGAGCACTTAAAAGACCCCAAAAATGGGCAACTATAATGAACAGATACTTTTCAGCAGAAGAAATACAAATGACTGTGCTCACTTCAGCAGCATATATACTAAAATTGGAATGATTCAGAGATTAGCATGGCCCCTGTGCAAGGATGACATGCAAATTCATGCAGTGTTCCACATTTTTTTGTAACTGTCCTACTAACCTGTACTGAAACTGTTTCATTACTATTTTATCTTTTTTCTCATTAAAATGAATAAATAATAAAAAATTTAAAAAGAATTACAAATAACCAATGAAAACAGTTTGATATCACTAATGAAATATAAATTAAAATGATATTGAGATTCTATCTTACTCCAGAAAGAAAGTCTATCAAATAAATCAAATAATAACAAAAGTTAATAATGCTTTAGGGAGAAAAAGAAACCCCTTTACATTGTTGGTAGAAATGTAAACTACTACAACCACTATGGATGTTAGTATGAAGATTCCTCAAAAAACTAAAAATAGAAATTTCATTGATCCCAGCTATTCCCTTTCTTGGTATCTTCCTGAAAGAGTTAAATATATCATATCACACTGTTATGTGCATTGCCTATATTAATAGCATAGCTCAAAATAGGTTAACCTTGGACGTAGCCTATGTACTAATAGATGAATGGAAATAAAAATGTATTTATTCACAACAGAATGCTATTTTGCCATAAAGAGGATAAATTTGATTTATTTGTAAGAAAATAGATGTACCTTAAGACAATAATGTCATGGGCAGCCAAAATCCCTGCAGCAATGCTGCAGGCTACCCCCACACCACCCACGACCTGGAGGGACATCCCTTTGGATGCCTACTCCATTCGAGGACAACACACCATTTCTCCATTCGATCTTGCCAAGCTGAACCAGGTGGCAAGACAACAGTCTCATTTTGCCATGATGCATGGCAGGACCAGATTCACAGGAATTAACTCCAGCTCTCCAGAGGTGAAAGGGTATTAATAGGCAAGTTTGTATGCACCTACTCAAACCACCCATGAACTCACCATTCCAAAAAACTTAATCGGCTGCATAATAGGTCGCCAGGGCACCAGCAACAATGAGATCCACCAGATGTCCAAGGCCCAGATCAGAATTGCCAAACCTGTTGAAGGCTTTTCTGGTAGGCAGCTCACTATCACTGGCTTAGCTGGCAGCATTAGTCTGGCCCAATACCTAATCAATGCCAGGCTTTCCTCTGAGAAGGGTATGGGATGCAGCTAGAACAATGTAGATTCATTCATAACCCTCTTCTGCTATTTTCCCATGATCCAACTGTGTAATTGCTGGTCAGTGATTCCAGATTTTAAATAATTTATAAATGTTCAGTTTCTATACCTTATCATCCACTAAGAATTTAAAAAATCACATTCTCTGTTCAGCTGTTAATGCTGGGATCCATATTTGGTTTTATAAGCTTTTCCCTGTTTAGCTTGTTTTGGGTTTTTTGGCTCATAGATTTTTCTGTTTGTTGATAAGAAATGTGAGTGTGGAATGTTAATTTCAGTTTAGTTCTGTAATGTCAAGAATTTGAGAATTAAGGGGACAGGGAGATGGCTCAGTAGAATAAGCACTTCCCTGGCAAGCGCCCGGGCCTGAGTTCAATCCTCGGTTCTGAAAACAAAAAAAAAAAATTATTAATTTTATTGAGAAACAAATAGCAATGAGACAGTCTCAAAATTGATTGTGTGACAGTTTCAATAATTAATACATTGCATATTTTCTTCATAGTGTTTATTCATAGTACAAGATGCAGACATGATATCCTGTCCAAACACTCTTAGTACAAATCTTTCTTCTCACTGAATTAAAAGAAAGTAGCTATATATCTATCCTATTTTGTTTATCACATTTCTTAAAGGTATACATATGAATAGACATTCATAAATACAAAACTAAGTTGCGTAGTAATCTTCAGCATTTTAAACTCCTTTTGTCCATTTAGTGCAAATCACACCATTGACCATTTATTGTCTCCTATGCCAGTAATGTTTTGCAACAAGACCATGAGCTTGATCCTGAGTAACAAAAGCAACATTTAAAATTGTGACCCTACAACTCTGATCAACGTGAATGTGCCATGAAAAAGAAAGTGAGACTTATTAAGTTCTCTTTCTAGCCTTTCCTATTCTTTCCCTTTCCCCCTTCTTTCCCATCCCATTTTCTCCCTACCCTCTCCTCTACTTCTTCCTCCACTTTTTCCTCTTTCACTTCTTTTTTCTTCTTCTTGTTTTATTCTTCTTTTCCTCCCCCTTCCTTTCTTCTTCTTTTTGAAATAGGTATTTCAGTTTGAAAGATAATTTAACTCAGTTGTGTCCCAAATTTTCTGATCAAGGAGATTATGGGACCACAGAGGAATGTGATCAATGATGTAGAGTGTGCCTAAGGAGAGTCACATGGAGAGAAAACATTCTCTCAGGGCTTCACAGAAAGCACATTGACCAAGCAATGGCTGTGGCTCATCCACATGACTGACACTGAAAAAGGATCTACAAAGTGCGGTACAGGGTTTTGGGATAAGTCCTGAGGGGATTTGACTGACTGTCAGATACAAAAGTTACATTTCTTGTTATATAGGTCTTGCTTTATCTTGGTATTAACAATCCAGCAGAAAAGTGTAGAAACAAGGTATGAAAAGTGAAGCCATGTTAATATGCTGAGCTGTGGAAGACTCAAGTCAACAGCTTCGGACATTGCCAGTCCTGTGGATAACCCACTATTATTATGGACTACTGGACTATATTGGAATATTTTGCTGAATTCATGCACCTAGAGTATTTGGATGGCAATAGAATACTCATCTCTGACAAAACTAAAAAAAAAGGAGATATAAATGAAGGACTATTTTGTATCTGTATATACAAAATAGTTAGGATAGATGTATAGCTCCTTTTTCTTAATGCAAGAAGAAGAAAGATTTGTACTAATAGTGTTTGGACAGGATATCATGTCTGCATCTTGTGCTATGAATGACTATTATAAAGACAACAATATGCAATATATTAATTGTTGTAACTCTCCTACCAACCTGTTATGAAAATGTCTCATTGCAATTTTTTCTCAATAAAATTAATTTTAAAAAATTAAAACTGCTTTCATTGCATCCCACCCAAAAAAAAAAATTATTCTTCACTAAGCACCAATCCAGTTGCCAAAAATGCAAAGGATCCATCATGGATAATGATCACTATTGGACTAAGGTATCTATTATTATCATTATATTCTAAATGTTTCATTGTCTGGCCAATATCATTGTTTTCTAAGCATTCATCTTTCAAACTAAAATACATATTTCAGTGAAAAAGAATTTAAGAATTAAAAATTGATTGATTAAAAATAAATAAATAAATAAATAAATATATGACAATAATGTTAACCAGGAGTAATGGGGCACATCTGTTATCCCAGAAATCAGGAGACTGAGGCAGGAGGATCACTGTGAGTTTGAGGCCAGCCTGGGCTACAAAGTGAGCCAAGCACAATATTAACTACGTAGTATAATTCTGTCTTAAAAAAGCATAGTGTTAAGTGAAATAAATTAGACACAAAAGCTTAAACATCACATGGTTTCTCTTGTATGAAAAGCAGAAGTATAAATAATTTTCAGAGCAAACTAAAAGGTTACAGGGAGATAGATATTGTCCAAGGGGCAAGGGACCAAGAGATGGAGGGACAAGAGAGAGAAGAAGGGAAAGGGACGTAAAAAGAATTAGGACAGGGTCTGGAGAGATGGCTCAGTGGTCTAAGGCACCTACTTAGAACAAGCTTGGCAAAGCATCAGGGACCGCGGTTCAATCCCCCAGCACCACATGCCAGCCAGCCCCGCCCCCTGGTGGGCTGAGCTGGCCACACACACAAACATAAATAAAGAATGTAAACTAATTTTTAAAAATGAAAAAAGAATTAGGACATGCTGTGTACATGTGCCCCCTCGCTGGATGGGTGCAATCATTGTGCACTACAAATATGTTCTAATAAAAAATTTTAGAAAATTAAAATCTTTGGTAAAAAGCAAAAATGAAATGAGATCATGGAAGATGCAATCTATGAACTTGAAAACTAATCAGTGGTATTAAGAAAATAGACTGAAAAACAATCAGAATCTCAGTTTGTAAAAGGAAGGAAGTTCTAATGTGCAGCAACCTGGGTGACACTTGAGAGCAGTACCCTAAGCAAAATAAACCAACTGTAGAAAGAAATTCTCCATCAAGTGTTTAGAGTAGCCTGAGCTAAGAGACGGGACAAGGAGGTGCTAGGAGCTTGGCAAGATGAGGATGGGTGTGGAGTTTCCTTCTCTTTTGCAAAATGAAGAGTTCTGATTATTGGATGCCCAACAAGGAAAGTGTACTTACTATAGAAATATGAGAACTATATGTTTATCCATGGTTAAGATGGCATATTTCATGCTGTGTATATTTTACCACAATAAGGAAAAATATTAGTATCATTTTTGTGAAAGAAAAAATCAAACTCTAAAAAAATATAAGATAATAACAAAAGAGCTAACATTTATATTATTGGAGGTCCAGAATAAGAAGAGAAAGTGGTACTGAAGAAACACTTAAGGAAAAAAGAGTGAAAGCTTTCCAAATTTGTTAAGCTATATTGGCAAAAGTACTTGGCTATTGTCATGTTGATACTGAATTGCTACAATATAATGGTGGAAAAGAAAAGGGTGGGTGGAAGGCTGAATTCACAGGAACCCATCTTGGTGTCTCCATAGTAAACAGATAACTCTAGGAATTAAGATCTGAAAAGGGCCTGGTAGCCAGGAATGTAGACCCTATAGACACGAAGGCCAGGGTCACCGAATGATCAAGGAATGGAGACTGGTGGGAGTGCTGAATGAGAAGGTGGAGGAGTCCAGAGTAAATAATGAAAGAGATCAGCTAAGAATAACAGTTATGGTCTTGGGACCAACCGCAACATCAAGAATGTATTTTAGAGAAATTGCCACCACTCTGAGGTGGCAATTGTCACCACTTTGAGATTAATGTAATGTCAGGCACGTCTATATCAGAGCAGTATGTGGGAGGTAGGTTCAGTCCATGGACCAGCAGGTTGCCTCGGGGACTTCTGCTCCTGCGCCGGGGGCAGCCCACTGTTCACAGGCCAGGCCAAGAGGCGGCACGCCAAAGATGCAGGAGCAG